ACTCAGCAAGCGCAGTCCAGCCCCCAACTCAGATTTGAAAAAAAATCAGTGGATGGTTGTTTTCTGACTGGTCGGCCGACCGCCGGCCGGTCGGCTGCAATATGGTCAGCGGTCGGGGTCGGCAGTCGGCAGGGATTCAACCCTGGTGTAGTGCATATTACAAGGAGGGTGGCTGATCATTCACACCATTCGATGGGCGATCGGCTAGGGTTCTACTAAGTCGAGTTGGGGGACGGAACTCACTAGAGTGGGCCATAATAGCACCCAGTTAGGGGACTGGGATCAGTGGGGACTGGCTCCAGTTCCTGCTCATAACTGGTAGGGGTTGGATGGACACGACTTGCGATCGACTTAGGATAGTCTAACAGGTACTCTGTATAGGTGGTCCAGGAGGCTCAGTGGTCCATCCTAACACCAAATGCCTGAGTCCCGGGCATCTTCCAAAGTCTGACGCCAACCTCTACAACAACCTGGGTGCTTTTCTTCTCTTTTCTTCAAGTACATCATGTTAAATTGCAATACAACCTGTTGGCTGAGTGTCTCCTTAGAATTTCACACTTGTCAAGAGAGAAAAATAAACCGATATACCGCTTCAAAACCCTTAAAACCTGTTCGTAACCCTCCATCCCCAGTTTGGAAGACAAGGCCGGATTCTAACAGATCAAACCCGACGCAAGCCTGGCCTGAAGTCAGAATTATGTAATTTGAATCCTTGACCTTTTATGCCTCACCTGGTTTTCCCAGACAGTCCCACCTGCCTGCCTGCCCAGGCATGCTTGGTCGGGCAGGCAGGTAGTCCAGGTATGCATGCCTGTCAGCAGTTGGAGCTTAGAGCCGAATTTAACACTGGAGCTGAATTTGTCAATCCAGAAAACTGTAGATCGGAACTGGTCTTTTGTACCCTAACAGGAGCCACCTACCTTTCCCGACAAACCCACCCGTCTGTAATGAGAGAGCAGACGTAGAACAACATGCTTCAAAACAGCCTACATCCAACCACTGTCTCAAATTCTATATCAGAACCAACATATTGTCACATATCTCTAACTAAAAATACACACTTCGCAAAACAAACGATAACGATACACAAGGCAAACACGAAGAGCTCACTGAAACCGTTCATTTTTATCATTCTTCTTTGACTCCCCCTTTACCATGCCTCTCGCATTTGAGGCTCCCCACCTTGATGAAGTTGAGTGCGAGCTGCCCACATCCCCACGTACCATAATGGCCCATTTGCGCACTATGAGACGGGCAGAGTAAAAATGGAGGGAATAAACACAGAGAAGAGAAGGAGAGAAGACAAAGCAGAGAAAGACACAGGGAAAGTGGGAAAGTAAGAAGTGTAGAATGAAGATGAAGGCAAAGGACAGAATGAAAAAGGCTCAGGAATCAGTCTGTCCTTGACGACAGAGAGGACGGACATTGTAAGGATGAGGTGGATGAACACACAGAAGACCTGGCTGAGCATTCTCAGTACAACAATTGCCACAGCCGCTGGCATTGAGCATCCAATGCATGCCACTAACGCAATACCATACAAATGACAGCAAGCAAGTTAAGGTGATGATTATGCACTTACTCCAGGGCAAGGTTTCTCATACTTGGTTACTTTGCCAGATCCACGAGGGCACTGGAAACCTGCCTTCCGCTGCCTGAAGAGAACAATGGAATGAGCAAATCAGTGAACACATTCATGTACCTACAGTCACCCAAATGGCATTCCATTATCAACAAGACGCATGGGGAGCATCTAGCACGCGTCCAACATCTTGCAAAAAGCGCTTATGATCCTGATCGGAATCAAGATTCAAGAGCAAAAATCAGCAAACATTCAGTCGTTGACGACAAGATGCATGGAGAGCATCTTGGACACGTCCACCAACTTGAAGTGCTTATCATCCTAAGCAAAATCAGAAGTGCAACTTGGTAAACATTCGGTCACTGTCTATGATGTGGACGATGATCTGGAAATGATGATCGACAACTTGACGATCTGAACTTGATGATGTGGCCTCCACAGGTAGAGTGAGTGTGTCTGAGAACAAAGTTGATGTCATTTCGCAATTCCCACCACACTCCAACATAGTCCAAGATACAGGTCCTCAGAATTTCCTCCAACCCAACGAATAATTATTAATTATCTACCACTCATGCTGAATATTGCAGCTGTCAAGCAACCTTTACGTGAAGTGGTGCAAAAGAGACATGCTATGAATCACAATGGAAGCAGCCAAACAGTTGGTTGGAGAAGTCCGTCCCATCATGTGCATGGTCTGCCTTGAAGATATTTTACTGGCAACAACATAGGCTCCATCAATACTGCAAGAAGTGGAGTTTCATATGATAACTCAGCAAATGATTGTCTGATGTTGATCCCATGGTCATTCTCCCTTCGTTAAACAGCCCCTTAGTTGCTAGAGCGAACATATATGAGAATGAGGCCAAACCCCATCTGGGACATTCCCCCAAAAATGTTTGTTTGCTGTTGATCACAGAGTGTGTTTTGACTAGTCGGCCTCTCTGTTGCCAGCACAAACACACAGACAAGAAAATGAGGGCCAAAGCCCATCCGGGATCTCCCTGCACCACCTAATCCGACCAATCCAATTCTCAATCAACCTGAACAACGCTTACTTCCACGATGTGTGCCCGCTAAGGATCCCAAGTAACGCAAAGTCCAAAGATCACCACCATGAGGAAGAAATACAATGCGACACAGCGGAAGACTCAAATCAGATAGGACTGACCAGTTCAATGTGAATCAGATCCAGTCACATACCAGGAAGGGAGAGGTCCAAGGATAGTTGAGACCTCCCTGCTGTATGCATACACAGGCAAAGTGTGAGGTGGGAGACACAGATGCAGAATGAAGAAGAGAATGAAGAGGGAGCCGACGACAACAACGGCGAAGAAGAAGAAGAAGAGGAAGAAGAGGAGGAGGAGGAGGAAGAAGAAGAAGAAGAAGCAGAAGAAGAAGAAGAAGAAGAAGAAGAAGAAGAAGAAGAAGAAGAAGAAGGAGGAGGAGGAAGGGGGGGAGGAGGAGGAGGAGGA